AGTGGTTTTGTAACGATCATAGCTATAGTGATTTTGTAAGGATCAAGCACTATGTGATAACTATACAATGGTGTTGTAATGATCAAACACTGTGACACTAGATACATCGACATTCACAAAACTTGTTATTTACAAGAACTGTAAATGTTCTTTATTTATACTCTGAGCTAGAAGTACAAGTTCCGTGTTTTATAGTTTTATGTCTTTCATTATTTATAATATTCAAATATGTAATGTGTACTATTGGGAACCACATTTATACTCTTAAAACAGCGTAGTTTATTACATTATTATATAACTCGTGGTTCGTCTCTCGAACACACAGAATAAATAGGAACTTAGAACTGTAGCGAGGGAAAATTTCAACTGCAAGCAAGAAAGCAGTTGATCTATTTAAAATATAGTTATTCTTGTCAAATACTGCAAACAGCCTGAAGTTAAGGTAAATTGGCTTCAAGAAATAAGAAACATTGTCCGAATGACCCAGTGACCTTGTTCTTACATTCTCAAGAATTTCAAGACCATGGTTAGTAGTTTGTTGAAACTAAGATCTAAGCCTCGTCTGACGAGCACCTGACCTACTCACCCCAAAAGCGTTGAAAAGTGAACAACACTGCCAAAAGAAAGTTCAGACGGAAGATTTTGTTGCAACACTACGAACTCTAAGATACTTACTTCTGTAAGTTTTGGGCCTGATCGTCTGACAGTACTGATAGTAGTGAGGTGAGCTTTCTTCTTTGGAGGACGTTTCGACTGGGAATATTAAGGTATGCCAGTTTTTGTCGAAAAATGTAAAGATCGTTTTTAAGATACTTAGCACAAATACAAAAAAAAGCACTAGGTGGCCCCAGCTACCTTTTGGCAAAATTTGCAGTCTGCAAAGAAACAAACTGACTTAACTATATAAAGCTTTCTCCTATGGAGTGGTATAAGGCAATTTCACAGCACTTTTCTAATAGGTGATTTGATCAGCTATTATAGACGCTTGTTGATGAATTGCAGATAGAAGCCAATACTTGTAGTTTCATCTATTAATATGGTAAGTTTGGGGTTTTGATTGGTTGGGTGTAAATCACGTAAAATGAATCTGTTATTGGCTACTGGCACAGGCTTGAAGTGCTTAAACTAGATGCAGGTGAAGCATAAAAGTCATGCACTTTGGTGACTCAAGAGATAACGTCTTAAGGGTAAATGCTATAAAAATGGTCTAAGCTTGAGTAGAATTGCTTCACCCTCGCAAGCAAAGACGGTGAGGTTAAAGAATAATATTAAGTTGAACTCATTACCTTCTTAAGCTTAGGGTTGAGTAAGGTATAGCTAGAATGGCTACGAAGCCGGATTTCCTTCGCTCTCGCTGTAGTTGCCTGTTGTTGATAATGAATGGATTCTTTAGCGAGTTACGAAATCTAGGTATGTGAGTAATTCTCACGCGAGCAGAGATATAACTGTCCATATTAAATCTATTTGGACAGGCCAATGACGCAAACAGAATTTAAAATTCACCTCTATATCAGCTACCTTTAAAATGTATTCTACTTATAATAATAATAAGCATGAGCTGTGTTGATTTATAACACGGCCTTAGTAATAGAGACAGTAATGAATGTGTTTTACAGATCTAAGTTCAGTGAATACAAGGTGTTAGCTACTTAGAACATCAACTATTTTTGAGGATCACAGAATCTACAAGTAATTTAACAATGTAGTTCTGAAGGCAGTCCATTGCTGAATATTATGTATGGATTCACGATCTAGCCAAATAATAAAATGATTTAGTGTATTAATCCTCAAAACATAAAATAAATTATGAAGAGAAAATGTGTTGAAGTTTTCATTTTTTTCCAAGAACAATTTAATCCTTATGGTTAGTAGTGTCTTCACAAAACGTGTTTTTCTAGTAGGTATAACTTTGAAATATATGTATATCATATTGAATCTTTTTAATGATTTTGTTTAGTTTTCAGCATATAATCTCTTACGATGTTCAAGATATTGTATCAATCCCTGTATTGATAAATATCATCGATACGATGATGTAAGCGAAAGACATTTCTTTATAACAGAACTTAAGCTACTCTTTTCTCTTTACATCTACCTGTTCATTAGTTCTAGGCTTCACTTTGAAGTTTGTTCATGAAGTTTTACATATTCAACTTTGTAACATCTTAAAGGCGGAAATAAAAGATGTTTTTCTGGATAATTAAAATTGTATATATAATCCCAACGATTCCTATGAACCAGAGTGTCTTCTATGCTAGAGACGGCCTGGCATGTATTAACACTTACATTATTCTAATAAAGTTACTAGCTTTAACGTGACTTTTAATATTTAGCTACCTTAGTAAGGGAAGATTAAACGTTTAAATATTAAAATGTTCACTATAGACATATTTATTATTCGTAAGAATATCTTAATTTTTGATATTACACAAAATAGTTGAAAATACAAAATCGGTAATCAATAACACAAAAAAGGACATATCACAACGTAAATTAAAGAAGCAAAGTAATATTTACTGGATTATAAATCGAGTTTTGATACCCGCGGTGGGCAGAGCACAAATAACCAATTGTGTAGCTTTGCGCTTAACAAGAAATTCAACATACAAAATAACCAAACCTCGTTTGTTATTAATATTATATTAACAAGAATAAACACTGAAATAACTTACTCGCAATATAATAATATCTGACTCGAGTTATTGCTTCTTCTGAACGTCAGAGTTTTTGTATTTTAGTCTCCGACTGATGGTTGATTACACCTCTTCAAAATCTGTTAAAAGTTTTGTGATATATTTTAGCGACGACATAGTTTATGACATAACACGTCACAATAGCTTGGTCTGTCACTAGCACTTTGTTTTAACTCTGATTTACTAATACACTAACTGGAATACTTTTCAATATGTTTATTCCACTCTGTATCAGAGGGCTATAACAACATTGATGTATAGCTTACTTAGTGCTAACTAATGTATACATTACATAATACAATATGGAAGTTACCACAAGACTTCAGAACGAAATGTTTAATTTACTCTACTTTTACGTTACATTTTTTCGGGAGCGTTGTTTGCAAATTTTTCTGTAATCTTATATCGCTTACATACTATTTACTACGATACCATGTGAATACAACTGTTCAAACAGATCACTCTCTCTTTTAGCATGTTAATACAACCGTTGAAATAGTCACTCTCTTTTTCTAAGTCACATAAGGAAGTTTGATTTGAATGACAAATAAATGTTTTTGTTGAAGCACGGATAAAGCTTGTCTATATGACAAGCAATATTCTGACCGTTTACAATACGTAAGGAGTGAAATTCTTAGCATGACCACATTTCACTTTGACTTGATTTCTCTCAGATAATTATTCAAATTCTCTCAGAGACCTATGTTTCCTATTTTACCGACCTATTTAATTTTTTCAACAGGTAATTTCTTAGTGGTCAGATTGACCTAATTTTACACAGGTTACTAAAATTTTCTACACATTTCAGTTGTAATTTTTCACTGGTTTATAAAAGAAATGAAAAAAAAAACAATTTGCAGACGTGAATTTGGGTTGATATTTAAGCAATCCAACAAAAGAAGGGACTTGAGGAAACATTGAGATAACTGCAGGGCATAAAAATGAATATATCAGAATGTCCTCAGTGTTCGGGTGATAGTAGTTATTAATTGGGTAAGAGTATTTGTATTTATGGTAAAGCTACTAAGGCTATCTGCTGCCGTCCCTAGTTTTGAACTACTGATCAGATGGAAGGTAATCAGACGTAGCACTTTAACACCCACCATCTATGATAAGGGATTGACTGTTACTCTTATAACGAACCCACAGTTTAAAATACGGGGAATATTTTGTGGCAACGCATGGATTCGAACCCGAATACAGAGCTCTATTACAGACCAACCCTCAAATAGGAACTCAAATAGTATTATATTGATATATATTTCTTGATATTTGCATTCCATAAAGCCCCCTCCCAGTGGCACAGCGCTATGTCTATAAACCGGGTTTAGATACCCGTGATGGGCAGAGCACAGATAGCCTGTTGTGTAGCTTTGTGCTTAACTTCAAACAAACAGACCATTCCACAAAAATTAAAGTAGGTGCTAGGGAAGGTAACATAGCAACAGCTTCATTTGGTTCACGTCTGATGTACAAATTTGACTAGAGAAACAAACAAACCCAGTTTTTGTTTGTAAATGTATACGTAGATGATGCAAGAAAACACAAAGTAATACACAGGAAGAGAGAGCCAAAAGCAGCAGTAATTGTTATTGATTTCGACTGCCTGGGCTTAGAAAAGTAATGATACGAAGGATGGGGGGAGGGGAGACACAAGAGAAAACTAAATATATAAAAGGTTGATCTGTTACGCCTACATTTTCAAAACTAAAACAACGAGAATTTAACAACAAAAATGAAACAATTTTATCTTATATCCAAATATAGTAAAATGATTGTGAAAAATGTTTCACACAAATGTGATAAATACGACGTTTTCAACCTGGCGGACTACAAAAGGTTACGTAATCTTTAGCATTCAGTACCAGCATCAGCGTTGAGAAACATGAACCTCCGATGAAAAATAAATATTTCAAAAGTTTTTTTTTTTTTGTATTTCTTAAGATTTACAATATCAGTTTTCCTTTTCTTTATAAATACATTTGTAGTGTGGCCTTAATTTTTTCGTTTTGAAGTATATATGTTTAATGAATACTGTTATATGCCTTGTTTGAAGTTTATTAATGAATTTGTGTTTTACTTCTAGTAACGTTTTATGGGATTGTTATATATTTATTTTTTCTTTGCCAAACTTTTACGAAATTTATGTATCTTTAAGAATGATGTATTGTCTTATTATTTTTCACTTTATCAAAACATTTGCACTTCTTCACGTTTAATGTAAAAATGTAGGCATATATCGTTATTTTACTCTTTCTGTACATTTCTGCTGTTTTCAGAAAACTGTTACCTTTTCTTATGTTTCAGATCTAGCTGAAAACCGAAACGGTTTCAACATGGGAGACCATGATAATTTTTTTCTGGGTAAGTTTGTTTCTTTAAAAATTTAAATATGACATTTACCTAACCAATAAAATTTGTCCATTCTAATTGAATGTTTTCAGGAATAATTATTGTTTGCACCAAAGAGTAATAAATTATTTTTTTTTAATGTTGAACAATTTATCATTTGTGTAAAAATTATAAAATTAAAGACGTTTTTACTGCCCAAGACTCTTTCCGATTTCTGATAGAAATCTATGTTAACATAATAATAAATAAATAAAAAAAACTAGGTGACGCCTGGAGAGCAATGTTAATGGTGCAAAGAGCTCCCATTTATTACTGAAATAAAACTTTGATCTTGAGATTATGCCTTTTTAATTGATTATATTTGTTACAAATTTACAAGGAGTTCGATTTTCAAATTAATTTTAAATAACTGTCTCTCTGTTTTTATTTATATTCTATATTATTTCCTGATATCGAGCTTGAGTCTTGGTCGAAAATTGTTTATTTTGTTCGAGAATAATTTTTCTTAAACTATTTATCAAAATATTCTTAGAAATATTCTTGAGCTTCTTGTCTGGACCTAGTACCATAAAATCATAAATGAAATTCTTGTTCTAAACAGCAAAATATTGTCTATGAAAGCAAGTAGTAAACGTTAAGTGATTTTACTGTCCCACAGAAAGTAAAATATTTATTTATACTATTATTCTGCTTGTTTGTATGTACGACCTTTACGCTTTCTGACCGAGAACCTGCTGCATAAGCATGCGTAGTTAGAAATTTTCCCCAAGAAAAACCGCGCATGCGCATTATTCACTCGACAACAGAGAGCTGCAAAGCTCAGTGATCAAGTCGCTACAATTGCTCTATGAAA